AGAGAAACTCTGCCTCGGGCTTCCTGTAGTCAGCCGCTGGTCAGTTTCAGCAGCGGCTGAATCTGGATGCCAGTTCCGACTTAAGTACAAATTCGACTTAAGTACAAACCTACAGTCCCTATCTTGTACGTAACCCGGGGACTGCCTGTAACATGAAATATACTTTGCAGAATGTGGGTAAAATAGCAGGAAGCATATAACTGTCCCCCAATGAGCTCAGTAACAAATGTAATTCATACATTTTTTTAACGTGGATTGTCAGTGTGAAAGCATGTCTTCTGGATTGGTGGCCAAAGTATGAAGAGGTATCTGAATGTCTAGCATATTTGGCATGCAAATACCTTGCAATGCCAGCTACAAAAGTGCCAAGGGAAAGCTTGTTCTCACTTTTAGGTAAATAAGAAGTGAGCAACATTATCTCCCATAAATGTAAACAAACTTATTTCTCAAAGCTATAAGATGAACAAGAAGTAGGACTGAGTAGACTTGTAGGCTTTAAAATTTGACATTATTTTGATTTTGAGTGCAGTTAGGTAACAAAAAACTACATTTGTGAGTTATACTTTCACAATAAATATATTGCACTGTAGTACTTGTATGCTGTGAATTAGAAAATACTTTTTCTTTTATTTATCGATTTTACAGTGCAAAAATGTGTAATAAATTAATAATATAAAGTGACCAGTGAACACTTTGTATTTAGGATTTTAATTGAAATAAATATATCTGAAAACGTAGAAAAACATCCAAAATATTTACTACATTTCAACTGGCATTCTATTGTTTAATACTATGATTAAAACCTCAATTAATCATTATTAAATTTTAAAATTGTGATTAATTTTTGGAGATAATTGTGTGAGTTAACTGTGATTAATCAACAACCCTAGTTTCCCTGTAAATGTTGAGTGTGTGATACACAGAGTCATTTGCTTCCCATTCTGGGCTTCTCTGGCCTATATTCATTGTCAACTTTAAGTCCAATCCTTCCATCCTTCTATGCACAGAAGGCTACAATGGGCATCACAAGTGTGGAGAGCTTTTATTGGGCCCTTTATTTCCCTCAAACTATAATGAGAAGTCCTGAGCTTTTACACTAGGCTGATGCGGCATGAGAGTTAGTTACTCTACACTTTAAAATGCTGAATTGTTTTAATCAGCTGCTATACAGTTTGAATAATGAATCATAGAATCATAGAATAATAGGACTGGAAGGGACCTCAAGAGGTCATCGAGTCCAGCCCCCCACCCTCAAGGCAGGACCAAGCTCCACCTACACCATCCCTGACAGATGTCTATCTAACCTGTTCTTAAATATCTCCAGAGAGGGAGATTCCACCACCTCCCTTGGCAATTTATTCCAATATTTGACCACCCTGACAGTTAGGAATTTTTTCCTAATGTCCAATCTAAACCTCCCCTGCTGCACTTTAAGCCCATTACTCCTTGTCCTGTCCTCAGAAACCAAGAGGAACAAATTTTCTCCTTCCTCCTTGTGACACCCTTTTAGATATTTGAAAACCGCTATCATGTCCCCCCTTAATCTTCTTTTTTCCAAACTAAACAAGCCCAGTTCATGAAGCCTGGCTTCATAGGTCATGTTCTCTAAACCTTTAATCATTCTTGTCGCTCTTCTCTGTACCCTTTCCAATTTCTCCACATCTTTCTTGAAATGTGGCGCCCAGAACTGGACACAGTACTCCAGCTGAGGCCTAACTAGTGCAGAGTAGAGCGGCAGAATGACTTCACGAGTTTTGCTTACAACACACCTGTTGATACAACCTAGAATCATATTTGCTTTTTTTGCAACAGCGTCACACTGTTGACTCATATTTTGTTGAAGTAGCAAGACATTATGAAAAAACAAACTATAAAAACATAATAAAATGTATTTTTCCACACAAAGCACATTATTGGCAGTGCTAATATTTGCGGAGTAAGAGAATTAGCAGATGAAAAATTGTCCACAAGAGGGAGCCAATGTTGTGTCAAGAACACTATGGAAACATGAATTACTTAGGGAAAATCTATTCAAAATTATAGACAGGTCATTGCTGAAAAACACAAAACATCTCTCTCTCTCCCTACACATAACCCATAGTTCACATAAAAGTCAATGTACACACAGAGCATGCTGAAAATGTGAAATATGTTTTATAAAAAATTCACATTGAAATAAATACCTTCCCTTCTTCTCAAGCTCTTAACTGGAGGCTGTTCAGGAACTTTTCTCCATAACTTGAACATCTACTAAAATGCATTTTTGTAGCTGTCTTTCAAAATCTCCAAACAAAATGTATTAGTTTGTTATATCAGCCTAGGTTTCCCATGAAATATATAGACAGACATAGAACTGGAACTGAAAAACTTCCAAGTATCTTATTATTGCTATGTTCGATGTTATTGTTTGTGTTAAAGACATCAATATGATGTAATTACATAACTGCATTATTGAAATTGCAAAGAAATCCTGGACTAGTTACAACTCAGTCATAGATCTGACATATTATAAATTTCCTCTGCTGTTTCAATTGGACATCTGTCCTTAAGTGTTGTAGGAACTAGTAAAAAAATGCATGCTGTTTCTCCCACAAGTTGCTTTATTTTAGTGATAAGTAAAGTACTCCATTAGTTTCTCTTGTTCTTTCCCTCACTGGCAAGCAATTCTCCCAAATGAAAAGTACTGTAGGCCGGTATGCAGGAATTTCTATGAGGGTGGATGCATTTTTTGTAACTGTGGATTGCAAGGGTGTGAATGCACCCCCCCCCCCACACACACCAGTCCCCCAAGCTCCTTTTCTGAACCACTCATCTGAAGAAGTGGGTTTTGCCCATGAAAGCTCATGATACTATATATATATTTGTTAGTTTCTAAGGGCATGTCTACACTAGGAAATTATTTCAAACGAATAACTCCCGAAATAACTATTATGAAATAGCGTGTCCACACTACAGGGAAGCCTCAAAATTAGTCCACGGAATGCTCCATGTGCTACCTTGACTTAGAGCCCCAGGAAGCACTGGGGAGTAATTACTTTGAATGACTCTGAGGAGTAGTTATTTTCAAATTGCAGCAGTGGAACATCCACACTACCGCTATTACGAAATAACTATTTTGAAAGAAGTGCTATTCCTTATTATTTCGAAATATTATTTTAAAATATTATTTTTGTTGTTGTTTTGAAATAACAGGCTTGGGGGTGTGGACACTCCACTTGTTATTTTGAAATAAGGAGAGTTATTTCAAAATAACTCTCTAGTGTAGACCAGGGCTAAGGTGCCACAGGACTATTCGTTGTTTTTGATGGCCTGTTATTAGACTGATTTTGAACTGTGACAATTTGAATTCACAATAACTCTTGATTTTTATTTCAAATTTCTGTATTGTCTGTCTTATACATACTTCCATGGTCCCCATTTCCATTGTATCTGAGCATTTCACAATCGTTAATGCATTTATCATCATGACACTTTGTGAGGGGGGAAAGTACTCTGATCCTCCATGCTGAGAGGCAATGTGACTTTCCACCAGACATATAGGAAGCCTGTAATGGAACAAGGAAGTGAACCTGAGCTTTCCAAGTCCCACAGTAGCATCCTATTCACTGGACCATCCTTTTTCTTGTTTAACTCATAAGTCAAAGCTAAATCTCAAAACAAGGCTGCTTAATTTTGTTTTAGTCTATGCATTGCTTATAGCACTTAAATGCCTGATGTGTAAGCAACTGTTCAACAGGTTTTATTGCATAGATAGACTGAAACCTGTCCTTGGTGTGCTGAGCCAGAAATTTAGGTTTGGTCCATTCTTGAAAGTTATGTGCACAAAGCTACATTGGTCAGGGCTGTGAAAAAAGAGAGGCCTGACCAACATACCTATACTAATTTAACCCGCAGCACCAATGCAGCTATGTTAACATAGCTAAGGGTATGTCTACACCACCCCCCTAGTTCGAACTAGGGAGGGTAATGTAGTCATACGGAGTTGCAAATGAAGCCCGGGATTTGAATTTCCCGGGCTTCATTTGCATAAAGCCGGCCGGTGCCATTTTTAAATGCCAGCTAGTTCGGACCCCGTGCCGCATGTAGCCGCGCGGCACGGGGTCCGAACCAGCCGGCATTTAAAAATGGCGCCGGCCGGCTTTATGCCAATGAAGCCCGGGAAATTCAAATGCCGGGCTTCATTTGCAACTCCGTATGACTACATTACCCTCCCTAGTTCGAACTAGGGGGGTAGTGTAGACATACCCTAACATCACTCATGAAGATGGTGTTCCTATACCAACAGGAGAAACTTTGTCTGCGAGGGAAGGCTGCACCTACACTGCAAGTTTGTACCACCTGGTAGAGTCTTTGCAACCTTAGAAAAAAGTTGTCTTGAATTTTGACAAAACATTCAAATGGAACTTTGCTGGCCTCCACTCTAGAGCAAAGTCTTGCATGGTGTTGGGTGAACATATTTGCTCAGCATCAATACTCTGACCGCCTTTAAAAGTCTATTTAATAGTGTGTGGCCAAAAAATGGAAGATTAGATTTCTAGTATGAAATATAACAATAGCCCAAGAAGTTAGCAAAAAAAAGTAATAAATCATTGTTTCCCTTGATCTGTCAGTTAAGTGTGCCTATGTTCAATCTCCAGACCTGGGCCATAGGGAATATAAACTTGGAGAAGGCTGGGCTTTCGTGTGCCATGTGCATTGTCCTCACCAAGGATGCCATTTTGGGAGGGTAAGGGATGGGAGCTAAAGACCCTTGTACCAGAATGCTTGGGTCACTTACTCCTCTGGTCCCTCCCCTCATCAACCGAGAGTGAGAGGAATGCACACAAGCTGTGCACTTTTCTCTCGCTCCCTGACAGTGAGGGGAAGGGAGAAAAGAGGAAGAGGCATCCCTGTATCAGGGGCTTTACCCTCCCACCACTCTCCTCAAATGGTGCCCTTGATCCCCAAAGCAAAGCAGTAATAAGTGAACTATCACTATCAACTATCAAGTTAATATAGCCTGTAATTGTATGTATGTTTACATGGAGCCTTTCTGCCCTAAGGGTACATTCCATGAGTAGGTGTAAGGTAGTTGCAAATAGGGGAAGCACAGTGCCTTATCACTAACATTGTGACAACAAGGAGCTTGGAATAAGGTCTAGGTAATGCAGAATCACAATACCTCTATGGAGAATTCTGGCTTTGGCCTCACTTTCATCTCTCAAGATCTGTGCAAATCTCCATTCATCCATGGGTTCTGGAGTTTGTACCTCCAGCCCACTCCTGACGGAGTAGGAAGAGGCAAGTCCCACTCACTCCCCAGCAGAATAACCTAATAGAAATTCTTCAAGAGAAAATTTGCATGTTCCTCTGCTCTACCCAGTTTTTTCCACAAAGGAGAACAATCTGGCCTTGTGAAACATTCATTCAATACTCAGAAAACACCCACATGTGATCTAATTTCTTAATACATTACACATGCATACATTTAAAAAATAACTTTTGCTTTTCCTACAACAATCTGCAGAACACACAATGGTTTCTTCTCTTCTTTGTTCCATCAAGTAGTGCAGCTTGACCAATAATCTGCAAGACTCTTTCAGTGCCATCTTTTGTCTTTGCAGAGCACTCCAGATAGGCATATGTCCCAATGCTATCAGCCAAGGCCTTTCCTTCTGCTGTCTTTACTGGATTTTGTTCCTGTTTAGCAAGTCTTTCCAGGACTCCCTCATCTTTCCTCAGTTCTTTCTTGGTAGCCACCAGAACAATAGGAGCTGTGGGGCAAAATAGTTTGACCTCTGGAATCCAAATGTCAAGGATGTTCTGCAGTGAATTTGGCCTGTCCACTGAGAAGCACATTAAGATGACATCGGTGCCTTCGTAGAACAATGAACGGAAGTGCTGCAAATTACCTTGGCGCTGCCCTGTTACGTCAAAGAGCATCAGCTTCATTTGTTTCCCATCAACTTCAGCATCAGTGGTATAGGTTTCAAACACTGTTGGCTCGTAGCATTTGGGAAACTGTTCCTTGCAGAAGGCAAGCAAGAGACATGTCTTGCCACAGGCAACATCACCCACAACAGTTAGCTTTTTCCAAACAGCAGCCATCTTCTGAAAAACAGGACTGGTACAAAATGAATCCCTGCTCCAGCTTCAAGCTTCCAATGCTTTATAAACACTTTTAGGGGAGAGGGAAAGGAGTAGGCAGCAGAGAATCACAATAGATTAGAATCTGTCCCTTTGTATTATTCCCTTCTGAATATATTTCTGATTTCTTGACCTTTGCATCATTTATCTTTTCTCTTAAGTCCTCCATGTTTAGCATCATCTGCAATTTTCACCAGCATGCTATTTACTCTCTTCTAAATTACAGAATTAAGATGTCAAATAAGACTGGACCTAAGACAGATCAAAGCAATGCCCCAGTACATAATTCTCCTAACTCAGTCTGTTTCCTCATTTTATACTTTGTTTGCATTCAGTCAATTCTCAGTCCCAGGATAGTGTTCATTTTCAAGACAATTTCATTTCAAAGTGTGATTATGTATGACCCCATATTGAATAATTTAATAATATCCAGATAGATTATATTTGAAGTGGGGGAGGTCTAGGATGGACATTCGTAAACACTATTTCACTAGGAGGGCAGTGAAGCACTGGAATGGGTTACCTAGGGAGGTGATGGAATCTCCATCCCTAGAGGTTTTTAAGTCCCGACTTGACAAAGCCCTGGCTGGGATGATTTAGTTGAGATTGGTCCTGCTTTTAGCAGGGGGTTGGATTCAATGACCTCCTGAGGTCTCTTCCAGCCCTAGGTTTCTATGAGTCTCTGACATCTCCTGTTTTCCCATTATCCACCAAGGCTCCGTCTATACTGGCCCTTTTTTCGGAAGGGGCATGCTAATTTTGAAAGTGGGAATAGGGAAATCCGCGGGGGATTTAAATATCCCCCGCGGATTTTAATAAACATGTCCGCCGCTTTTTTTCCGGCTTGGGGAAAAGCCGGAAAAAAAGCTTCTAGACTGGCCCGATCCTCCGGAATAAAGCCCTATTCCGGAGGATCTCTTATTCCTACTTCAAATAGGGCTTTATTCCGGAGGATCGGGCCAGTCTAGAAGCTTTTTTTCCGGCTTTTCCCCAAGCCGGAAAAAAAGCGGCGGACATGTTTATTAAAATCCGCGGGGGATATTTAAATCCCCCGCGGATTTCCCTATTCCCACTTTCAAAATTAGCATGCCCCTTCCAAAAAAGGGGCCAGTGTAGACGTAGCCCAAGAGTTTAATTTTATCACCAAAAAAGTCAAGGTTGGCTGGCGCTATCTATCCTTTATAAATCCATGTTGCTTTTTGTTCAGGAGTCTGTTATTATACTGCAGTTAAGAGATCTGCCCTTCTCCAAAATTTCATACATTCAATATCTAAGAATTACTAGGAAAAGAAGTTACACTTACAGGATAGTAACTTCTGGGATCACTCTTCTTCCCTTTCTTGAAGATCAGAAAGACATTTGCTTTTCTTTACTCTTATCTCCCCAGTTTTCTTCGGACACTAATCCACCTTTGAAGACAGTTCTCCACCACTTTAGAGGGACTCTCATGATAAACACTCTTTTTAAAGGAATACATTTGTTTCTTAATTTAGCCAGCCAATCAGCAAAGAGGAACAAGTGAGATCATTGCTTTTAAAAGCTATCTGTTTTACTTGTAACATCAATTACGCAATGTTCTACCATGCCCTGTAAAGGTTGCTTCATGTATTTCCTCATTTCTATTGGGCAAGACTGCTGCTTAAAATTCTCTCCCTGAGTGAATTATCTTTGAATTATTGAGAGTTCTGAGTCATGTAGTGCTTTGGCAAGACTAACACTTCAGGAAACAGACACCCTTTAGTAAGGTAGGGAGCTGGAAGAGCATGGGTGACAGTAGCAAAGCTTGCTTCCCCATGTCATAGCTGGAAGAGCATGGGTGACAGTAGCAGAGCTTGCTTCCCCATGTCATCACACCAATATACCCTTTTTCTGAACTGGAGGGACAACTTAGAAAAGTGAGGTTAGTCCAGTCTCCATGGCACAGTCAGTCTAAAGAGGAAAGTTGGTGGGATGGAGGATAGTCTGATGTGGGCCTCCCTCAGTCTCTCCTGTTGAAGTTGTTACACTTCAAAGAATCATTGGAGTAGGGGAACTGGATTCTGAGTCTCCCACTCCTGGATGAGTGCTCGCAGGCTACAGGGTGGCTACGTCCTCTCTCTCTCTCTCTCTCTCTCTCTCTCTCACACACACACACACACACACACTCACACACTATCTACATTTTTGTTAGTCTCTAAGGTGCTGCAGGACCATTTGTTGTTTTTTTAAGTTTATACACACACACAAACACACACTTTTTTTTCTCTCTGATTCAAATAGCCTCCCTAGCTTCTTTCAAAAAATAGTATAGGCACCCTTGCCTGAAACCAAGGAGGGTTCCCAGCTGAGAATGGCAAGCAGAGATAGACACTTTCCTACAGCCTGGACTTAGATGCCTAGTACTGTGAGAGGGGTGGGACATAGCATATGCTCCCATGGCTAGCGTCTCCAATTGGCTAACTTAGGCAGCTTCCTGATGAGCACACTGGCTTTTGTGAACCACAGTCTACAATGCTTATCTGGCCCCATTCATTGTACCTTGGGTATTGGGCCAGCAGCTGGGGCCCTAGATGTGGGGCTGAGAGCTGGGGCCCCAGGTGTAGGGCTGGGAGCCAGGACTCCAGGTGCAGGGTAAGCAGCTATGGCTCCAAGCATGGGACTGAAAGCAGGGCCCTGGATACAGGGTTGGCAGCCAGGGCCCCATGCATGGGATTGGTAGCCAGGGCCAGCAGCTGGGGCCGGGGCCAGAGCCAGGAACAGGAACAGAGCCTGGGCCCCAGCTGTGGCTCCATCCAAATGTTTCTCTGTCCCCCTAGGTGGGCATTCCCTGCAGTTTGGGGACCTCTGATGTAACTCCTTATGTGCATGTAGGCCTTATCTGTGAAGCAACCCATCCATTTAGTTTTAGAGAAACTACTAAAGAGCTATCCGTTTGTAACAAGGTTTTAAGTTTAAACTAGTTTTAGCATAAGAACATGGAATTTGTGACTTATTTTTTTAAAGTTGGAGTCTTGACAATGTTTGTCATCCATTTACTGATCAAGTGTATTTCTGGTTGATTGTACAAGTCCTCCTGGGTGTCATTCAAGGATATTTCTGATAGCCTAACTATTATAATTCTCAGTGTAAAGGTAACTTCCCACATAGAAGTATTTAGACACTGTACTCATTGGGTCTTGATTCTTGATAGTTCTAAGTGCTTTGTAGGATTGCACATATTATCAAGCTAATTCCTTTTTGTTCAGGATATACTCTTACATGTACTGCACCTATTGTTAAAGAGCCCTGCAAATCTGTGGATATTCACTTTATTTCCATGGGTTTTCACATCTACAGATGTGGATGCAGATATCCATGGCTCATTTTCATGGATATTAACCAAATTTATTTCCAGAACCCTGCAAATTTGTGAGGATATGGATGCGGATATCAAAGAATCATTTTTGCAGAGTTGGATGTGGATACTTATTTTGTGTCTGCACAGAGATCTACCTATTGTTTGTGTACCTTTTCTACAAACAAACACTGTTCTTGTTCAACTCCTGTTTGTGTGTTTGCATTCCAGGAAAGTATCTCCTTTTAGCCTCCATTTTCAATATGAGTGTTAAATTCAGCTTTTCTCCTGGACCTGTGATAACAATAAGCTTGCCACATAATGAAATGAGGATTCCAGTCCTTACAGATGCCATAAACCAGGGCTGGGCAAGACAGTGTCCATGGGCCAGATCCAGCCTGCCAAGCCATTTGATGTGGCCTGGGGCCACCCTGCAACCCCTCTGCCCCCAAGCCAACTGAGACCTGGGGATGGGGGAATGTGCAAAGTCTCCTCCTGATGCCAGGGGCACATGGTGCCTGGAGGGAAATAATAGCTGTTCAAAACAGCTGGTGATTTTCTCTAGGTGCCACTCATCCCTGGCAGGCGGCGGGGGGAGGCAAAGACTTCATGCGTTCCACCACCCTGAGGCCAATCAGAGTCTGTGTGCTGGGGAGCATGAAAAGTCTTCTGGCCCTGCCCCTTCTGGAATTCATGAAACCCCCGACCCCTTAAAAATTATTGCCCACCCCTGACATAAACTCCTCCCATGCTAATTATTTGAGCTTTTCTTCCCACATCTACTCAGAGGTTTCTTAGCATAAAATTGCAGAATAACCTGCTTTTGTTAATTCACTGGGCCAAATCCTGCTTTTGTTAATTCACTGGGATTTTGCCTGCCCTAGGACTGTAGGGTAAGGGTTTTAGCATCATGGGAAGAGAGAGCATGGAGGACTCAATATGCCAGTCAACACATAATGGTAGTAGTACATATATGAGTTCCTTGATAAGTGTTAATCCATAGCAGGATATAAGATTACTTGCCTAGTCATTTACCCAGTGAGAAGTGATTGCTTCCTGGCTAGGTTTTTGCATTTTTAGTGTGTGTTAATACTTGAATATAAATTGTCTGGATTACAAATATACTATTTACAAAATCCTTCAAAGGACAGAGGGAATGTATATTATCTAGAAATATGTTCTAGATCTTTTTATTTAGGTTCTCATCTCTAATTTAAGCAATGCAAGTAGATTAGAGTATTGAAATAAAACAAAAACCTGAATTTTGAATCAGGAGACCATCATATATACAAATGAAAACTCAGGAATAGTATGATCTCATTGTTAGCTTGGGCTTTCCCCATCTGTTCTATTCACCTATTCTCTCTCATTTTCTCTTTAGATTATGACCATCTTGGGCCAGAGACAACGGCTCTGCTCCTCAAAGGTACTGATGCTCCTAGCTTCCACTGATATCAACAGAAGTACTGTACCTAATTACCTTTGAGGAGCTAACCCCACCTCCTTGTTAAATGTTTGTACAGCACCTAGCAGAGGATGGCTAGAATCACTAGGTGTTACAAATAATAAATTCACACAAACAGTAACAGTAATGTATGGGCAACAGAACTGTCACTCTGCTGTTGATGAACACATATATAATTGATATCCATGTATCTGGGTGAAATGTAATTAATAAATTAATTTCCCAGAAAGTTCACAATGTGGTATTAATATAAGTGAAGGTTCTCTGTGTTTAAATAAGTGGTTTCTAAAGACACATTTCAGTGAATTTAGTGCTAGTAATAAATAGCATTGGTTGCCATGAAGAGCAAAGACACCCCTGGAGGCTCTGGAGGTTTAACTCTCTTCCAACCTTCCCTCCTGAATCCTATCCTTTCCCTCTCTTTGGCAGTATCTTACCAATTTCATTAAATGTAAAAGGAAAGAAGTACAATAAAACAAATATCATTATCCAGTGGAGTTTTCCATCCCTCCTCATCTTTATCCCTCCACTTGCTTAATTTTTAAACATTTCCAAAGTATCAATATCTGAAATACAAAGAACACAAGAACTAGATACTCCAGGCCAAACTCAGCTCTGAAAAACGTGTATGGACTTCAGTAGGACCCATTAGTACAAACCTAAAGGCAGAACTAGCCCTTTAAAAACTTAAAATACTTTGGGAAGGAGGAAAAGTCATCTGGTCCCAGCTGCCCATTTTTATTTTACTTTTCTGCTTTCCTACCACGGCCTTCAATCGCCTTCTTGAAAAGGAAGCCCAGGCACTGGACTTATTACTTCTTTAGCTCGATTACCAGTCACTGCTGCAGACATCCATTTCTGACCCACACAGATTTCTCAGACTGACTACCCTTTACTCGTCTTGATGCATTACATAAGCAGGAAGTCAAAAAGACATACATAGATTTCCACTTCCAATCACTGCCTTCCTAAAATAATGGCACCTCACATTTCCCTGCAGAAGCTAAGTATATTAAGTGCCAAGGAAGACAATTCAACATAGATACCACATTGCTGTTCCAGTAGCTCTGACTCAGAATCTGATTTCTTTTCTGGACTTATATCTTGATTTTAAGGTAATGTTTATGGGTCGATGTCACTTCTGGTATAAGTGAGAATGTGGCCCATGGGCCTATGTTTAATTTGCATTTTTAAAGACACAGTACCTTGAGCCTGATTCTGGCCTGCATATTTATACCTGCCTCTAGAAATTTCCACAACATGCATCTGACGAAGTGGGTCTTTGCCCACGAAAGCTTATGCTCCAACACTTCAGTTAGTCTATAAGGTGCCACAGGACTCCTCGCCGCTTTTGCAGATTCAGACTAACACGGCTACCCCTCTGATACTTGAGTACCTTGATTGTAATTGTACTGATGCTGATGCTTTAATTGGAGACAGAAGCTGAAAAGTTCATTCTTGGGCAAAACTCTAAGCGCTCAATGGGAATTTTACTGAAGTAGACCCTATTGAACCACTGGTCACGGATGAGTAACTCCTTTGATTTCTATGGACTTCAAAAGCAAATGAAATCATAATCAGGCCCCTGGTTTCAATGGGACTACTCACATGACTAATGAGAACAGGAGCTGGATTCAAATGCAGACAGATAACTCCACCTGGCTTTTTGAGAGAAGAATGAACCAATGTACTTGTGAAATGTACTTCCATAGTCTTCATGTCAGAGCATAATAGATATGTCGGGCTTAACAAACTACTCAACTGCTCCCCTCTTTTTGATTTTACAAAATGACAAAATCTAATTTGAGCTATGATTCTTCATAGAGTCCAAAAGCAAGTTAAAAATCCTCAACAATAACTCTTAAACTGAATACACAAAATTACTTACAAAATATCCACAGATTCTCTTTATGCCTCCCCAGATGCAAAAGTTCGGACTTACCAGTAGGATCGCCACATGGTGGCACTAACCTCCAAAGAAAAAAACAAGGTAGAATAGATAATACGGTTTAAACCAGCAAATGAACTTGGATTATCTCTAAAAAGTACTTGTTTAAAAAAAAAGCAATTATTTCCTTACAAGTCGATTAGAAGGATTCTCACCTCATGATCTCTGTAGAAAGATTTCAGTTATGGCTTACCTCATTATGGGCTCAGAATGGGGAAAGAATTTGCCCAGTGAGTGGATTCATAGGGAACCAACACCTTGAAATCTACGATTAAAAATTAAAATTGTATCAGGTATTCAATCCCCCTGTCAAGTTTCAGGGCTTTACAATCATATTTTCCTGGGGGCAGGGTTTCAGACAGAAATAGTATTCTGAAGTTGTGTTGTACTGTTGATACCAACATGATCCCAACATCAGTCAAACTGAATACATGACTGCTTTGTATAGTTTTAATAGCTGTAATGTGAAAGATACTGCATCAATTAGCTCAAGAGGATTTACAGCCAGTTACAAAATAAGGATCCGATACATCAGAGGAAGAAATGATCTACTGTACAAAGTCATCAAATGCATCACCCTGCAAAGGCTGACAGCGGGGGAAATGGGAAAGAGAGTTTCTTACTGAAGATTAATTTTAATTCAGATATATAGGATTCAGTGAACCATAACTGCTTCTTTGTCCTATTGACAATATACTGTGGTAATAGTCTAAGAGAAGTACTTTGTCTAGTTGGTAACATTTTTTTAAAAAAAAGTGTAATGTGAGGTCAATGTATATAGAGCTGTGGCTTACATTAAAGAAGACTGAGCACCACTGAGGATGTGTCCAGACTACAGGGTTTTTTCGAAAAAAGTGGCCTTCTTTAAAAAAACTTCCCCTGTATCTACACTGGCGCCGCATTCTTTTGAAAGTAAATCAAAAGATCACAGCAGTTTTTTCAACCATGGAAAATCTTGTTTTACAAGGAAGAACGCCTTTTTTCGAAAGTGCTCTTTCGAAAAAAGGCGCTATGTAATGCAAACTGTGCTTTTTTGAAAGAGAGCATCCAGACTGCCTGGGTGCTCTCTTTCAAAAAAGCGGCTTGCTTTTTCGAAAGTACTGGTTGTAGTCTAGATGCTCTTTTTCGAAAGAGGCTTGCAGTCTAGACGTAGCCTCTGTTCTACTGACTAAGGTCTACACAGGCTAACACAAGGGTATACATTGCACCCAGTCCTGCAGTAGAAGTGTTCATAAATAGTCCAGTTCCAGTCATTAGTCAGTAGAACTAAGTTAAGCATGTGTGTCAGTGTCTGCAGGAACAAGACCTTAAGGAGATATTCCATGAGCAGCAATAATAACAGCAGAGATACAACACAGTAGATAGCAGCAGTGTATCCATCATGTTGTAACATTTTAAAACACACTGTTTCAATGTACTCAGCACAAGCTACCTATTTTAGAGTTTTCTATTGCACCCATCACCACAATATTGAGAACTGAATAATGTGCCCCTTGCTTTTAATTTTTATATTAATTTATTGATCAAGGTCCCTTAATAATACTTCTATAAATTAGGATGCAGAGGGCAGTCCAATTAAAGTCTACTAGGGTTTTATAATCGCTCCATAAAAATATTCCTTCACGGCTGAAACTTGGCATATGAGGATCTTGAACTAAAAGAAAAATTTATCACTATGTTTAAAGGGGGGAGTGGATGGATCCTGTTTTTATTATTAGACAGTGATCTAAATGTAACTGTTTTTCACTAATCACTATAAGTAATCCCTGAGAACTCCAGTTCCATTCTATCCAACCTTTGTCTTTTCCATGCAGGATCCTGTTTTTATTATTAGACAGTGATATATAATCACTGTGATTACTAATTATTAATTATTAATATATATTTTTATTTGCTGGTCCATAGAATGGCCTCTTAACATAGGTTTCACTATTTACACTCACAGACAAATGAAAAATATTTTTGAGAAATCAAGGCTCTACATGGTGGAAGCTGTGCACATCAATTAACCATAATCCTGTCACACATGGAGCATTTCATTGGGCTGTGCCCACCAAAACTCATGATACCATCTACATGTTTTGTTAGTCTTTAAAGTGCTATCAGACTATTTGTTGTTTTTTAAGTTTTTCCTGTGAACCTTAAAACACTGATGTGGAGACACTGCAGTAGGGGGGGTGGAGTGAGGAAGGTGTGTATATGTGTGTGTGGGGGGAAAGGGGGAGGACAGGGAAGTATCCAGGAAAATGTAAGGGAAATCAGTCCTCCAGCTCCCAAGAAGTGAGACCCCTCCTGGGAAGACAGTCCCTTGTGGCTCTGGGGAGAAGAGCAGAGCCGGCCCTTTGGGAGGGAGCACTCCCTGCCCAATTCCGAGCAGCGCACCTCAGCCCTGACACTATATGTGTGTGTGGGGGGAAAGGGGGAGGACAGGGAAGTATCCAGGAAAATGTAAGGGAAATCAGTCCTCCAGCTCCCAAGAAGTGAGACCCCTCCTGGGAAGACAGTCCCTTGTGGCTCTGGGGAGAAGAGCAGAGCCGGCCCTTTGGGAGGGAGCACTCCCTGCCCAATTCCGAGCAGCGCACCTCAGCCCTGACAC